TTTTCAATTGTTCAAAATGCCACACACGGATCTTTATTGCATTATGTAAATGGAAAACCGGCGTCGAGATTTCTGCAATCCCATTTTAACTCATCAGTCGCCAATTTGCATACAAATGTGGACATCAGGATTTGACAATGTTGTAATTAATTAATTAACTAATTACTGCAGTAAAAAAAAGTTAATTAACAATTTAATGATAACGAAATTAATGATTATTTACTGATTTCAGTTATCCATTTAAAAGTTAGTTGCGTAATTAGTTTAACGGTGTAAAAGAGACGTAAACAAGTCGCTGTAAGTTACAAAAAAAAATATGTTACATTTACATTCAAAAAGCGTAAAGTTCATCCTTCGTCTGTAATTTACTTCTATTGCTATTCACGTCACATAATATTTTGCAAAGTCTCGTTTGCATATTCAATAAAAGAGGGTTGTTGATTCACACAGAAAAAAATAATATTTCAGTCCACTTTCGCTTAAGACTTTTCGCAGAACTTTATTTTCGCTCAATACACTTTCATATCATTTTTCCGCATATTTCTTTAACTGCGACAGTTTTTGCGACAAAAAATAATTTCTCTTGCGATTTCTTTTCTACGGATTATTGATATTATGAACACTTTCTTTCATTTTTAATATAATCTTATCCAATTTCTGGAGAAAAGAGATCAGAATAAGAATTGTAAATATTAAGATATTTTTTAATTGTTTGTCTAATTTCTCATTAAATTGAAACATTATATAAATTATACACTGAAAATGTTGCTGATGTAAGCCAAATATAATTGCTGAAATTAAATGTTATTATATGAAATTCACTGCAGTAAATTATTTGGTAAATACACATTGTTTTAATATTCAACATATATTTCAATTGATTTTATGGAATGTATATAATTAAATTGAAATTCTCGTTTTTAACTCATTTTCAGTTACATGAAATTAAATTCCAATCAATTGGTTATAGTTTAATATAATTTGTAATGCAAATATTAAGTTGACTCACATTATGCAATACTTAAATAACTTGATAAGTTATGTTATAGATTTACTTTTGTAATTGAAATTTACTAAATATTCTTACTATATTATGAAACATTATTAATTTAACCTTATATAATCCAACCTAAACCATAATATGAACTTTACTAATTGAACTTAAGTATAAACTTACATATCCTAACTTAATTATTTATAACTATGATAAAAATTTTCTTCATGATTCTTCTTACTAAAGTTAATGTCTTTATTTATATAAAAATTTACAATAACAAATGATTTATTCTATTATAACCAAGGGAGTTTATATATACTCACCATGAAATTACATAAGAAAAACAGTTATTTTTTGTGAAAGAATAAAAACAAAGACACTTTTAAAATAGGTCTCGAGGGACGTTAAAAAGGACTCGGACAAGTTGTAAACCGCAAGAGTATACGTATGAAAGATATTTTCGAGTCCCTTTGGGAGTTGCTGCTCTCAGCCGTTCCCGGTATACTTAATATTGTCAAATAACTACGCCGGTTTTGTTTGAATTTACCTTTGGCAAGAGTTTAAATGTGTTAAATCGAAAAATGTAATAAACGACGTACAAGAATATCTCGTATACTTTGAGAACTAAAAAAGAAAAAGCACAAAAGGAAACTTGACTGTATAAAGAAAACAATAGTTTCTGTAAATAATTTTATATACTATTTATTTACAATTTATTTTTATTTTGACCAATTAAAATTAACTTTTGTTAGAAAATTTCTAAACCGTACTGTAGTGAATCCGCACTGATCGAAGCCGGTATTTGATAGTTTCATATATTTACTATTTAATAAAGTATTGATATTCAATTATATCTTAATAATTTAACTACTGCGAACAAATAAATAAAACGCAAGTACTACCTATGGATCAAAATGACCCGTTCATTAAATAACAATTACTTATATACGAATAAAAAATGTATGATTAAAACGAACTAAACGAGGTTTTACTCTAATTTTATAAATAAAAATACGGAATTTTGATATCACTTTATTATTGTATAACAATTAATTCTGTTTAAAATCCCTACACCTGTAATGTTGAATTTACGTTTTATGAATGTTTAAGTTTGATAAATCTAAAAATATAATAATCATCGTATTGGAAAGAGTAAAGTGTGAAACAACGAACAATAATTTAAAATTACATTATTTTCATTTGACCATATTTGTGCATTACCCAAGACACTTCGCTTGCGATCCGATCAAACAACGCAGTCATGAAATCGCCAATGTGCATTGACTTTTAATCGTTGCAAAACCGATATTAAGGTATTGAGGAATTTTGAAAAATAAATAAATAAAAAAAGTATGCACAATAACAGCAAGGAACGCGTTTAATTAAAGTGAAGAGAGAGAGATAAAAGAAGTAAAAAAAAGAAGGAAAGACACCAACAACAACACTGGATTCCATAGCAGATATAATCCAGTTGGGAGAGCGAACTAAGGTCAAGTGGAATGTCAAAGTTGACTTCCATCACGGAGAGCGTTAATTTATTGAACCTAATTTTCCTCTAATTTATTTAATTATTACACAAAGACACGAAACAGAAAAAAAATAAAGTTTGAAATCTGTCACGTTCTGAAAGTTACAAAAACCGCAATAAGCAAGCAACAGTAATTGAGGTGATGAACAAAAAAAAATATTAATATAAAACATTTTGTAACGTTTCTATGCGAGAACGGTCTTTTTGTATGCGGCAGATTGCGTTTGCGGGGTTCGTGTTTTTATTGGAGATCCATAAGCTTTTGCTGTGACCCTCTGGGTCGCATTTATACCAGAATATTACAAACGGGAATATCTCTGTTCGAAAGAGCGTACGTGCACGAGAGAAAGGGAGATGGAAGGAGATTCGACGTTATTTCGTTTAATTTTGCCGTGGAAGCGATGCTGCTGAGCCGATGCTTCGGAATAATTGCGGAGTTACTTTTACTTCGGATACTGTTATTGATACAGGTTTTCGTACTGGCAATCTAAATTCCCGGAACATTTAAAATTATTTATCGTGCAACCTGCAGATTACACACGTTATATTTCATAATGTAAAACCGTACAACGGGGCCGCGAAATAATTAGCAGGCCTGGAAAGCGGCGATTCAATATAACTAATCCACAGCCAACGCAAATTCCCTGCATTGTTTCCACATGGCTTCTATGCTAGTATTCCGCCACACGCATGCAGATACATATTCACATTTATTTATTTAGAAGGAAATTAACAAGGTATTAGGTTTAATCCAGTGCACAATACCAATGTTATTATTCCAGAAGTGAATAGTATATCAAAGCTTTGGTGTGAAATTTAACGCACAGATAAATTTAAAGTTGACATTTATTCCTTGATTCACAATATTTTTTAAAACTTTCAATTTAATACAGGATTTAAACTACACCAATTCCGGCCAATATTCCTGTTTGAAACCGGACTAATAGACTTAAACCACATAAAAATGAAGCTCAGAAACTTGACAGTATAAAGAAGAAAGAGCGATAATTTATTTTTGAAATTGTCAAACTGGACTATAGCAAATCCGGACTAAACGAAGCCGCACTATGCGAGATATTATTTCATTATTTTTCTAATATATTTTTTTTAAGTGAGTCTTACATATATATACATGAGACAAAACTACTTAATTTTTTACATGATTGTTAAGACTTTTAATATATACAAACAATTGTCAAATATTATCACAAAAAATAATTGTATTATTAGAAATTCCGCTGTATCATTTCAATATCTCTTTAATTTAGTAATAAATTTGTAAATAAAAAGTGATAAAGGTCGTAGGTTAAAGCTCAAACTGAGGCTCCGGAGCCGCATGATGACAAAGTGCGGCTCATGTTCAACGCTATCTCCAACTAGAGACATTCCTTGTAGAAAATATTAAGATACCTTCCTCCTGCTTCTTCCCTCTTGGAAGAGCCTCTATACTACTAATTACCTTTCATAAACTTGATCAAGACACGTATACAATACCTAATATTATTAACAAAGAGGACGTGAATACCAATATTGATGGTCTTTTAATTCAGTAATTTATTCATTATTTTGATTACATAATCAAGTATGTACATTGTTAGACAACCTTCATTCTATAAACAAATTGTATTAATATTTCTAATTGATTGAGAATATTGTTCATTCCTTCAATACCTAAGATTCAATAGATAAATTAGAAACAATTTCAAATTACTCTGACTTATGATGGTATGTACAATTATATTTAATATACACATCGATATTGAAATAACGTTTGTATACAGGTGTAAAGTACCTTTTACAACTGTTTATAATTTCAAGAAAAACATTATGATTTATAATTGTTAATCTAAGAGATTCTGCAATGTACAAACGGTGAAAATGTTGAACATCAATTCGTGGTAAGTTGAGAACGTTAAAGCACAAATAATTGAAAAGAAAAACAAATTTTTAATCATTTTAAAAGGTAATCTGTTATTTTTCAAATAAGCAAAACTATTTACTAAATGGCAGAAAATTGACAATTTTATTCCCTAATGTATTATGTATTTAAGTTTCAATTTATATTTTAATTAATAGCTTTACACATAAGTAAATGACTTTGATAATTAACAAGGTTCAATACTTGTTTCATAATGCATGTATCTAACACATTAAATATAATTTATCTTAAATCATATACAGATTATAATTAATCAACATGAACGTTTTATCACGATTGTTAACATATTCTACATATTTAAATGAGTTTTCTTTTTGGTTTTGCACTGGAAAATATACGTGAAATTAAGAAAAGAAACGAAGTGATCTAAATTTCTCAGTGAAATTGCAGTCCGTGCTGATGGCGAGCAACAACAACAAAAAAAAACGTATAAAAGAAGTGAAACAAAGAGAGTGAACATCTTGCAAATTGAAATATGTCGGTGCATTTGTAATTCATTGTCTAAATGATTTTTTTTTGTTTTCTTTGTTATGCAGGTCAGTTAAACAGATGCCGACGACGACAACAAATTGTGTTTTCTCAATATCAGAAATCGGCAAAGCCTGCAATGCCCGAGAATAGTGTGCCAAGGAATAACGAAGTGCAATAAATCGGAAAGCCGGATTGACTTTGAATACCAAAGGAATTGAAATCAGAAACGCACAGTGAAAAAAAAAAGAGGAACAACAATAAGCAGAGAATAAACACGAACGGATACAACAAATATGAATATGCTTTCCTCGAACGTTCTCTGCATGAAGAAAAGGAAAAAGAAGAGCTATTGTGTTTCCAATGTATCGGATTATGGAGGGAAATATCGGGATAAAAGGTAATATTGCATTTCTTGCTTTTACTATTAAGTTTTTAGTAATTCTTTATGTTGATGATTGATTATTATAGGTCAAATTATATTTATATTTAATGAATACAATTATAATTGTAAATGTATCTCAATTATTTCAGATAATTATACGTACAAATGATGGAAACTTGTATCATTTAATATGTATGAATTTCTTTATTATTCAATAGATTTTCTCTTAGCATATTTTTCAATTGTAATTAAACATTTCAGCTTTCTTCAACAGTTTTATAATCTGTATTTTATTCAATATTAAAATACAAATTATAAAATAAGTAATTGAAGCAAAATTTCAATCTGGAAAACTTTAATTTATGGAATTTCATTAATTATCAATATATTTGTATACAAATTTCTACTTATATTTTTTAGATATTTGTATTATAAGTATTATTTTATCATTTTCTAATAATAATAAGAAGTTAATATATACGTTTTAATAAATATATTATTTTTTCTTTAATAATGTTTTATGACAAATGTAAAATGATTTGATTTGGTTTGTTTGAGCACTTGTCTAAGACGATATGATAAAATTATTAAGTTTCATCCCTATTTCTTTACAAACCAAGGGGAGTCCCATACCTTATTCTGACTACAGATTTTGCTTTTATAAAATACAAAAGTGGAATGTTAAGCTACTAAAGTATATGTTATAATATCAAAATGAAATCTTCTATTTATCTTCCAGTTTGTACCTATGTTTTTTGAGAACATTGATGATTTGTGAATTCAGCTTAAAAAACTTTTTTTTTAGCTTTGACTATAAATTACAGGAGATTGGCAATAGTTGCAAATATGACAGAGAGAACATTGGAAATTAACTTTAATTTTCATATATAAATTATTAAGATAATTGATGATTTGTGAAAACAGTCGATTTTCCGAGACTTAAATAAAACATACAACTTAGAAGATACAATATATATTGAAATACCGTTAGATTTTATAAATTTGATGTAATTTGTTTTACTCGTGCAGCTTTCCCTTTGTGTGATTTTTATTTTTTTTTCTGTTTACATTCGACGAGGTTAAAAGAAAATGAGACCAATATCAAACGCGGTTCGAAATTTATTCTAAATTGTTGTTTCATTTCACTTGACATACTAAGTGAGCATAATAAACATCAATTGTGCTCGTATTATTGATAGTTGCTCTTGTTGTTGTTTTTTTTTATACGATTACTTGAGAAACTTCACTAAATATTGCAAAATTCTATGTGGATGTTGCAAATACATTTTGAAATAAACACTGCTGTTTCTTATTTGATAATTATAAAAAATATATAAGATTCATTAAAAAAATTAGTACGATTCGGATTGAAAAAACTAAATTTTATTTAAGGTAATTTTTAATTTTCTTCTATACAGTCAAGCATCTATTTATACCTTTTATTTTTATGCAGTTTTAAAGTTCTCGATTAGTGCTGTTTTCCAGGTGTTCTTGTATCTACAAATAATTTATTTGGGTCGAAATTTAAATAATTACAAAATAATTTTTAATAACTCAGTAAAATAAATATTTGTTATGTTCTATGTGATATTATTACGTAATTAATTATTGGGTATTTATTTTTTGTAAATTTAAGTGTGAAGTTTGCATAATCTGTTGTACATGGATTGTAATTGTAAAGTTTCCCATGATTAATATGAACAATAGTTTATTTTTAACTTAAGTAACTACAAATGATTATGGTTAATTACGAGGCGATAAAATGGTGAATGTGTATCCTTGCAATAGTCAATTCATGCATGAAATATATGTATATACTGCGTATATTGATTACAATAACGATTCCTCTATAAATTATCTTACAGATCGATTTGCAACGATCTACATAATATTTATATATTTAATTATTTAACATTAGTCAAATATGTATTGAAATTGTCATATTTAATTTGAAATGCATAAAAATGTTGGTTGCAGGTCAACACTTAAATAACATTGTACTTAAGTTAGACAGAATCTCGAGTAACACGGTCAAATATTTACTAAAATCCTAGTATAACACGGTAGAACTTCAATGGGATGGTTAACTGTATAATTGAAATATATTAATACATTAAGAAAATAATACCGAACAACTGTAAAAAAATGAATGTAATTGAATATTTAATAGCTTTTATTTAAATAATGAATGATTTTAAGTACCTAGTAGTAAAGTATGTGTTTTATTACATGCAATGAAATAAATAGCCTTCTCCATGATATTTTTTTGTAATTCCTTCTTGTCTCCATAATATTTGAATAACAATATCAATAAATCATGTTAACTTTTAACTACTTGAAAAATAATGTAGTTATATAATATAGTAGTTATACATAGCACACAGCGGTTATACATGTATGTACTTGTTAACCCTTTTCGGACATACGGCGAATATTTCTGCCAAATCCTTTACACACAGTCGCAGCAATCGAATCGCCACAAGTCTTTTTCAGATAAAACAGTAAAAGATGTGACTTTAGTTCTTTAAAGGTGTCATTTGTATTACCGAAATACCAGATTAGGATTAGTGATGATTTTTCCTCTATTTTTTTTATTTTTTAACAAATTGATTAAAGGACTATCGATATTTGCTCTAATCTTATTCTAATTCGGTAATATTTCATTAAGAAACTTTTTTTGTTACATTCAAATTTCTATTAGTAGATAATATATTTATGTAATATAAATGTGAAGCATGTTTGTGTCGTTATAAAGTAAAATAAGCGGATTAAATTCTGAAATCTATTCAAGAGTATGAACATCTGCTTGTTCGTGGCTTAAGTCTTAATTAATGCAAGCTCAGGTGGAGGTCTTCATATTTCAAATAGCTTGCTTGCATGGTGCGCCGCAGAAGTTACGCGACTGAAGAAGTAAATTTTCATACGTAGCCATTAATACGTCCCAGATACACCGTTGCGCATTATAATTTATGCGTATTTATTAATTATTAAGAAGTCGTTTAAATGCTATTCACAAATGAAAACGTGCGTGATATACATTTCAATTAGTCATAAATCATTTTTGTTGCAGCAATAGGACATTAACCTTGCTCACCTCACGTTTTACTATTCAATAATTATTATTATTTTTTAACATTTTTGCATATATTGCAATATTCCATTAGAAAATGGAATGCTTTTTCTTATTTAGTTATTTACATATATGTTAACACCAATTTGTATAGAGCAAGAGACGTGGAACTTTTTTACTTATTACCCCAAAATATATTCATATACGCCTTCATATACAAAAATAGATAGAATTTTATTTGCTAAACGTCCTCATTACCCCTAATAATTCAATTTTACCCAATTTGGGGTAATTCTACCCTGTTCGCCGACCATGCCTGTGGTATGGTATGTACACCTAGTATTTCGCAGAATACCTAACTATATAGTTGTAAATATCAAAATTTTGACTGTAATATGCATATTTTATAACAATTTAGCATGAAAAACGATAGAAAAATCACCTTCTCGTCCATTAATGACTATTACGTAACAATAGTATATGTAAAGATGCACAATAGAAGATGTAATCATCAAAAATATAAAAATATTTACAGTTTTTGAGTTATTTTCACATTTTTTTTATTCACAATCTATCCATATGCTGAACCTCATTCATTTCACTGTCCATATGTGATGAACGATGGCCCTATTGCTGCAAGCACCGAGAGGGCACACAAAGGGCCTGGCTTGACCAGGATTCGAATCGTTGATAGGGCCACGAAATCGTGGCTATTCGGCTATTAATCGCCCTATTGAATCATAAAATTGAATAACATATTTGGGTATTTTGAACCTTTGTAGGTTTAATTTCTATATATTATTTGAAACATTTAAAATATTGTAACTTTTAAGTCTTTGTATTTTGCACAAACATGAACTGTGTGTTATAGTGATAATCTCGCTATAGTTACATAAAAAAGTAAAGGTAAATATAAAAAATGTATGTCTCTATATTTGATAAAATACTTGAAAAAAAGATGACGGAGTTGTCGGTGGTATCCATAGCATCGCAATATTTACGTAAGATGTCCCACGTTGACTGACGTTACTATATACTCAAATTGCTGTATTCAATTTCAGTTTTTCACAGCGAATAGAAATTTCTGCGTCCCATACGCTATTTTTCCCGTACTTGTTCTTCCAGTAAATTACAGTTTTGCTATTGCGTTGGAGTCCGTTGTTGCGAAAGTCACCTATTTTCAGTCATTGCGACTTTACTATTCTCGCTGCACCATCGACTTCCTGTCGAAGAAGGAGCCCGGAACTAATAGAATATTGACCACCGGAATGTTTTCATTATTATTATTTCATTATTTCCTTTTGCGAATCCTTTATAGTGAGCCGTTACGCATCATTAATCTGCACAACTATTTCTAAATTGCATTGTTTTCCACATAATGCTGCTCTTCCAGGTTCGTCTGTACTCTATTATCCTTTGTTAAAGAATGGGACGAGACGCAATAACCTGAAAATCTATATATTTACCGCAGCTTCATCGAGCAGAGAAACGCTTTACTTTACATAAGAGGAAAGAAGTCAACTGCGTGAAAGTTATATTAAAAAAGTTGTTTACTTCTAAAGCGAGCATTGATTTCGGATTATCTGATAATAAATTATTTTATATTAAGTTCAGTATTCACGTCGCTACCAAATGTTTAATAATTTAATAGTTGTTAACTGTATGAAAGTTATATTAAAAAATTTGTTTGTTTCAAAAGCTTAAATTGATAAATATTTATTAAATTTTAATAGCTTGAACTTTATAAAATTATTAATAATTAAATTGTGTTATTTACATTATTCACGTATGCTAAAGGAAAATGGATTAATTTTGAATATCTGATAATCTTATTACAAACTATATAATAATAGACTAACTATAGAAATAATTAAGTTTCTGAATAAATGTAAATAAACTAAGAAGTATTGTAATAATTTAAATATCATAAATCCAATATTTCAAT